ATAAAACTTGTTATTTTCACCAAACAAAGTGTAATCCCTCTTTCCTTCCAGAATTGAAGAAAAATTTCTCAGAAGTTTCTCAATCATTCATAGAATAAATAAATCAATTAATATAAATTTAGAACAAAATCCCCACATAGCACCACAAACAACCCTAAAAAATCCATTTTCTTCCGATTTCTTCCGAACTCTAATGGCTGCTTCGTTTCCATCAAACCCAAGTTGGGATCATGATGTATTCTTGAGTTTCAGAGGTGAAGACGTCCGCAAAACTTTTCTGGGACATCTCTATTCTGCTTTGAAAAAGGGAGGATTCAGTACATATAAAGACGACAATGAGCTCGAAAGAGGAAGCGACATAGCCCCCAGCCTACTAGAAGCCATCGAGCATTCCAGAATTGCAATTGTCGTGTTCTCCGAAAACTATGCTGATTCTAGATGGTGCCTGGACGAGCTGGTCAAAATCCTCGATTGCAGGGACAAGTTAGGGCAGATGGTTCTACCCGTTTTCTTTCATGTGGATCCCTCAGACGTCCGCAACCAGAGGGGGATCTTTGGCAAAGCCTTTGCGTGTCACCAGAAGGTTACCATGGACAAAGTGGAGAGGTGGAAGACTGCCCTTACCAATGCTGCGAACCTTGCCGGCTTTGATCTTCAAAGTGTCAATGGGTACTTCTTTCATCTCTTTCTTGCTTGAATGATTATTAGGATAAATTTCTTCTCTTGTTACCAATCTCTCTCTCTATTGAGACAGTCCGCACTGAAAATGCCTTTTCTTATGCCTACAATTACTTTAGTAGATGTAGACATGTAGTGTAGCATATAGCACTCAGACATGTAAAATGTATGCAGAAATATCCTTAAAGTGCACTTAGTTGGATATCTATGTTGTGTTTTCCAACATCAAATTTTAATCCTTTTCACAACAAGCAGGTATGAATCCCGGTTGATCAAGAAAATTATTGATGATGTTTGGGAAAAAGTGCATCACACATACCCTAGTGATGTGGACCGCCTTTTTGGAATTGACTCTCCAGTAAAGGAAATAATATCACTCTTGAGACTTGACTCCACAGATGTTCGGTTCATAGGAATCTATGGAATGCCTGGAATAGGGAAAACAACAGTTGCCAAGGTAATTAGGAATAGAATCTCTAAGGATTTTGATGGTAACAGCTTGCTAAGGCTTGAAGACGTCCAGCTAGGATCAAGACATGGTGAACTGGTTAAGTTGCAAGGGCAACTTCTATATGATATTGTAGGAGTCCAAGACTTGCACCTACGAGATGTTGATGATGGAATTGAAAAGATTAGAGGTCGATTTAAGCACAAAAAGGTTCTAATCATCCTAGATAATGTTGACCATTCGGACCAACTTGCAGCTCTTGCTAAAGAGAAAAGTTGGTTTGGCACTGGCAGTAGAATCATAGTAACATGTAGAGATGAACATTTGCTAAATGCTCGTGGTTATGAAGTAGATGCCAAGTATGAGGTCCCAAGTTTAAATTTTTATTATGCTGAGAAACTCTTTTCTTGGCATGCCTTTAGAGAAAGTTCTCCGCCTGCTGATTATGCACACAGTTCTGATGAGTTCCTGACATATGCAGGAGGACATCCATTAGCTCTTCAAGTTCTGGGTTCTTTCCTATCCGATAAAAATCTACTTGAGTGGACTAGTGCATTGGAGAAACTCAAAAGTATCCCCCCTGAAGATATTTTTAAAAGACTTCAAATAAGTTTTGATTCACTGGATTACCATCAGAAGGCCATTTTTCTCGACATTGCATTCTTCTTTGTAGGGATGGATGAAGACAATACAATTCAAATACTAGATGGTTGTGGATTCGATCCAAAAATCAATCTACGTATTCTTATCCAAAAGTGCCTCATAACAATAAGAGAAAAGAAGCTGGGAATGCCTGATCTGCTTCAAGAGATGGCAAGAAAAATTGTTCGTGAAGAGAATCATGATGAACCTGGTGAGCGCAGTAGACTGTCCCTTTATAAAGATGTTCGTAAGGTTCTGAAACACCATAAGGTAAGCATCAATTGCCTTTGCTTAGTGTCCAGTCTCCAATAAACTGTTTAAGGAGTACATTGATTGTTATGTAAAACATTGTTATTGCTTATTGTCATCAGGGTACAAACAGAGTCATAGGCCTTAAGGGGTTCTTCCCAGAAACAAGGGAGAAACCATTTAGTACTGAAGCACTTGCACGGATGAGCAATATAAGAATACTCCACCTTAGAAATGCTGACTTTGTTGGAAGCTTTGAATATTTTTCTAAAGAGTTAAGATGGTTGTGTTGGGAAATATATCCTCAGGTATCCATACCATCAAGTTTAAATCTCAAAAAATTGGTTGTTCTGAGGTTAAGGAACAGCAAACTCAAATATATTTGGGATGTATCAAAGGTATGGCTGTATATATTTCTTGTTTCGGGTAGGATTGTCCTTGACTAGAGTTACCATTTCTTTATATAAACATTAAATGATGCTCGTCCTTTTTGCAGGTTCTTAAAAATCTTAAAGTCCTTGATCTCAGTCACTCGCATGACTTAATTGGAACCTCAGACATCTCAGGTCTTTTAAACATTGAGAAATTGATCTTCAAAGGCTGCATTAATTTGATCGAGGTTCATCAGTCCATTGGCAATCTTAGCAAACTCATTTACCTGGACTTGGAAAACTGCCAGAACCTTGGTCATCTTCCTACCAAGATTTGTAAGTTAAGGTTCCTTGAGAATCTTAACTTGTATCTCTGCTCAAAACTAGAGGAGTTGCCAGAGGATTTTGGGAACATGGAAAGTTTGAAAGAGCTCAATATAGGCTGCACTGCCATCAAGCATTTACCCATGTCCATTGGCCATCTTAAGAATCTTACAAATTTCTTTTGGGACAATGAGAGATCTTTGCCTGGAAGTCCAGGTACCTACGATTTGTCTCCGCTATGGAGTCTGACTTCTGTAAAAGAATTGAATCTGTCGTTCTGCAAACTATCAGATAGCTCATTTCCCAGAGATCTCAGTGGCTCAAAAAATTTGGAGACGTTGCTTCTAAGAGGAAACGCTTTTCAACACTTACCAATTTTTCTATCAAATTTGCCAAAGTTAAAAAAGCTTGATGTTTCTGAATGTGATCTATCAGACACATCAGGTCCCTTGGTTGTTGCAAGCCCCTTTTTGCAGAAATTGAATTTAAGCGGAAACAACTTCTGCAGCCTACCAGTTGATCTTACTTCCCTTCCTCTTAAAACCGAGGTTTCCCTAGAGCTGTGCAATAAGCTCAAAGTAATAGAATTTAAATCACGCACGATATGGATCAGATACCTTTGCGATTCTTTGGAGAAAGTAACATTCAAAGGAGGGCTCAGTGACAGAAGTCTTAGACCAATCGTTCGTCGGTTTTGTCAAGTATCTCCGGTTCTGCGCTGTCACCATGTGAAACCTTTAACTGGCAAGCAACTTGCTGAGTTAGAGCACTTGTTGGGATTGAAGGCTTCGCTAAAGAAGTGCTCGCATATTTTCACAGACTTCATATTTACTTGGAGTAAGGATCGTTCCATTCAGGTTACTCTCTTGCTCTCTTTGTCCTTTTCAAATTTTCCTAAGTTAAGAAGACACAATTCTCATTTTTTTATGTGGCAAGGCTTTTTTTCTTTTTCTTTTTCTTTTTTTTTTTTAAATGAATTGTCCGTGTTGCAGGGTTTTTCTGATTATATGGAGCAGATTTATAACATCTTTCTTCCCAATGAAACGATGCCCTGTGGGTTTAATGATGAGGATAATGTTGCAAGTACAATTGAAGTAGATGTGCCTCGAGTTTCAAGTGGAAGTTTCCAAGGGCTTGCAGTATGTGTTATTTGTCATATTATAGATCCTGATCTTTCAACTTTAGCTATAACAATAGAGGATGAGGATTTTTCTCGTCGCTACCAGACCCCCCTTCGCTGGTCCTTTAAGGACCATAAAGGTGGACTCATGTGGGTCAGCTGTTGGAGAACACCAAGTTTGGTGAATGAATGCAAGAGATTCAATATTAAAGTAGAGACTGACGTTACTGACGGATCTGACGGATCCCATTTCTGGATTGTGAAAAGGATCGGTTTTCGCCTCTTATCTGAAGAGGAGCTAGACCAAGCCACAGATATCTGGTAAATCCTTAACCTCTATAGTTTACACACCGTTGTTGAAGTTTTGAAGTCTTACCAAATATTTCAATTGCAGGAGAGAATCCACCTGGTGCACTCGTGATGTGGAACCAGTTCCTCGGGGTTATCCCTGGTATTTATTTGAAAATTTTTCTCAGAGTTTCAATTAAAATTAATTTCCAATAAATTCAATTTTCAAAAACAAAATGAGAAATTAATTGGATGAAAGAAATAAAATAAAATAATTTGGAATTGGTTGTAAAGACCTAAGACTTTGAAATTGTGAACTGCAGCGAATTAATCAGATGGGAAAACTTCACCGAAGGATGGGGATTGCGGGAGTCAATAATACCACGTCGGGCACGTTTGAGTACTAGACCTGAGAAATGAGTGGGCTGGGCCGGGTTAGGAAACGTTAGGAAACTTTTAAGAGTGGGAAAGGGCTATGATCGAAAATAATCGGCTTAATTTAATTTTTAATCTATTAACTATCACTTTGATTTCATTTTAGTCTAGAAACTATGTTTTATTTTTAAGTGGTCTATTAACTTTCAGATTCATTTCAATTTCGTCTACTTGGTCAAATATAACGGAAAACTT